GCTGGGGCAGGGGTCGCCGCCTGCGTAGAAAAGTGCCGGTCAGTAACTGCATTTCAGGGCTCTCCGGAGACGGGAGAGTGAATTCCCGGGCGATTACTCAACGTAATCCCATTAGGGAGGCAGCAGCGCTCCCCCGAGTTTCAGAAGCAACTGTAATGGCTCTGACTGCAAGTTTGCTGGGGACGTCTTTAATGAATACACAGCAGCGTAAAACCTTTCTTCATGATGAAAGGCAAAGTTGAAAAGAAACTGGGTTAAACCCTCCGTTTCTCTGCTCGCTGCCCCAGGCTGATCGCCCTGCCCGAGGGCCCAGAGTTACAGCTAGCCCTTCCCTTTCTTTTCTCCGTTGACCCTCAAGGCTAAACGAGGATGCAGAAGTGTTGCAACATCACAGATGTCAGCAGTTTCATTAGAGCAGCTTCTTAACGGGGTCATGAAAAAACGAGCGTCTGTGCTGGATGCTCCCGGGAGCCAAAAGCCACGCCGTTAACTGCCCCGAGCGGCGGGTGCTGCGGGGCACCCTGGACCGCTGCGCCTCCCCACGTCGGCGGAGCGCAGGCCCGCCGGCGGGCCAGAGCGCTTAGCAAACGCACCCTACAGTAACGCTATTTGCCTTTTAACACTTCCTTTTAAAAACAGCTGTTGGAAATGGAAGTAAGGGGTAATATTCCGTCATCAGACTCTCACGCGGCCAGAAAAAGCTCCTATAGGTCACGTTTAGCTGGGACAGTTTTCCTTTGCATATTGTTCCTGAAAACAATATGCCCCATAGTTAAAATTTCTTCACTAACTTAGTTTTCTACTTTCTGCTCTCATTACACATTATAAAACTTGGTTTCTACACTATTTGCACACCAACGTTTCCCATTTATGGGCAAAATGCTTTAAGTACTTGGGTCTGCCGCTAGTATTAAATCTGCTGGACGATGTGTAGATAATAAGTTAATAGCAACGATTGCTTTAGGATTTTAATTTGAAATGTTTTGCGAGTCTTTAAAGATATTTTCAGGTCAGGCTATAATACCTTGTGACAGAGACGTTCCTCCCCTGGAAGAGAAAGGAGGAAATATGAAATCTGAGACTGAGATAACTCCAGTTTACTTTGGCAGAGAGGGACAGGCTGGATCTAGGGCTAATTAGTGCTGATGCCATCACACGGTATAATGGTTTTACTGCGAATCTTACAATTTACATATGTATAAGATAGATACACGTGTACCGCACCGCAGTCTTTACACTTACGTTATACATATTTGCGCTCTACCACAAAGTCATTTTCTAATTCTTGTTTCTGTTTAGAAATTACAACACCACCAAGCTCAGCCAAGAAGTATCCCCCACTCTGGCAGTGGCTATCAGACGCTCATTTGCAAACATAAGAAAATATGATTCATTATAATTTATAATCATTATAAGAACATGTGTAATTACGCAGGTATCGTTTCTTCTGTTCCTACCACCAGTGACAAGTGCATTTAGCAGCTCTCGTTTGTTACATGTGATACCAACAGACTGGAAATGGATTTATTCGTGGAGCCACATTATTGCACTAAGTAACATGAGAGACTCCCTGAATGTTATAAACATCCTGTGCAAGGGAACGTGTACAGACTAGCTAGAAGGCAATGTGCTTGAGATCAGTTTTGAGCAGCAAATTTCATTGACAGCTGTCATGTTTGAATTGTGATCTAAAATTTACTGTAAAAAATTGCTAAATTCCGGGTACTCCAGACGTGCTTGAAATGCCACAACTGAGAGAGGGATGGTAAGCATTGTTCCTCAACTTCAGTTTCTGTCAAAGCAATTAAGTTAAATTCCTTTTGGGGAATCGATGGGACAAGCCGGGATGCCAGGAGGGTTTGTTGGCCTTACCACGTATCCTCACTCACTTGAACTCACCAGTTTTCCACAGAGGGAGCTGTGCAAGAATTGTGTGGGGTCTTCTGACGGACCATAACATAAACAAAATAATTCAGCTTTTGCAGCACTAATTTGCTTTTGTTTTAGAAGCAAGAACAAATAGGGCCAGATCAGCCTGTAAGAGAGAGACAGGAGACAGACCCAGC